AAATTTCTATACAATGGTTTTTCGAATATTATTCCTAATTACTATGTATTTAATTAGTAAAACAAAATATTCTCTTTAATAAAAAGATAACGAAACTGATAATAGTAGGACACTATAATTGTTATCGATATTCCTAATTATTTCTTTCAAATATATTTTCAATATTGTAACCGATTAAATAAATTATTATGTTAAACATAGCCTATACAAATGATGTAGATACTTTCTTATGTTAGATAGAAAGATAACGTCGGAAAAGTGAATTTACAAACTGTTATTTTAAGTAATGCTTGTTGTAAATATTTTTAAGCAACATTATATAATGAATCGCATATATAAACTTTAATCATATTAAATAAAAAAATAACTAAAACGCAATAATTAATGTAACGTAAATTTGGTTAGATTTGACAAGTTAGGATCTTGAAATACGGTGAAAATTATTAGAGCGGAAGGAATTATGTTAAAATATGCAACAGGTATGCTCATTACCCGACGTTCACTCAATTTGTCATTAATTTCAACAAATCGACAAATAAGTAGATCGTTACTTTCTTGTTTTTCTAGTTTTTAACTTGTGTAATTTAAACCAACTTAATGAAACATTTTTATACATGCGCGGGCACATTTTCCATTTAATAAAACATTTCGCATAACCACTTAAGCATAACAAAATTATGGATATTATAGTTAGATATGGATATTTAATAAATTTTCAATAATCATAAATAAAAAGATAAAACTTCGGATAACGTAAAGAAAAAATGTAATTCGATCAATTTACTCTCTAGTCGTATATTTTTTATTTTTAAATATTTTTATACGCATATTTTATAAACGATATTATTATTACATCAATTACAATTTATATGTATATTTATTTATTTATTTAAATTCAAATTTTTTTTTAAATGTAACTCACGACCACGTAAAGAGGGAGCGGGGGAGAGTTCAGTTGCATAAAATTTCAGCAAAAGAAACAAAAATTATTGGGACACGTGACGATCAAATATTAATTCTAAATCAGTTCGGCATAGATTATAGTAAGTCTGTGAAATTATGATAGTGGTAGAGAAAATAACATGGAATTTATATCCATGGCCGTGAAAATATTTGTTCGAATAAAAAGGGGGTCGCCAAATGAAAAAAGTTTGAGAAAATCTCGAATGAAATATAATACGAAAACAAGAAGATATTTACTTTAAATATATTATCAATATTTATTTAATACTATATATTAATTTTA